CATGTCCCCCATGTTCCCCCTCCATACGGCCATCATGTAATTCCTGCAGTACTACCCCAATCAGATTTGAATCTTTAAGCAATACAAACTTTCCTAACGTAACAACCTCTCATGCACCACAGTGTAGTCATAATGTCTCGCAGGATCACCCAACATTTCTCCCATTCTTTTCTGCAATGCCTCATCGAGTGCCAATTCCTTCCTAAATAAGGCATATGCGGCCTTATTCTCCAACCCGGACTTGTAGTGAATGTCAAAATCGAACCCCAATAGCTTCGAAAACCAACGTTGATTATCCATATTAATTTCCCTCTGTTCCAACAAGAACTTCAATCTTTTTATATATGTTCTCACAATAGACTTCCTCCCAAGCAAGTAGTGTCCCTTTCATATACCGACTTTAGTTGTTGACGGTCTGATAGTACTTGGCTAAAAAAAAAGCTATCGGCATTTGCCCTGAATTAAGACAGCCCCCAATACTTTTCCCGATGCATCCGACTCCACCACAAACTGTTCTTCAAAGTCTGGAAATGCTAGAAATGGAACCAACATTATAGCATGTTTGAGTCTAACAAAAGCTCCTCCAGCCTCTTCATTACACCCAAACTTGTCCTTCTTCAAGAGATTCGTCAATGGTTTGGCTATCACACCATATCTTGTACAAAGTGACGATAATACCCAGTAAGTCCAAGGAAGCCTCTCAATGCCTTGACATTCTTTGGTACTGGCCAGTCGGTCATAGTTGCAATCTTAGCATTGTCAGCCCCCACCCCACTCGCAGATATTATGTGTTCCAGATACTCAATGCTGGTACACCCAAACTCGCACTTCTTTATGTTTTCATAAAGCTGGCACGGCTATAATTTTTCAAGACCAATCTCAAATGCCTTGCCGGATCTTGGTGACTTTGGCTGAACACGAGGATGTCATAAAAAAAGACAAGCATGAATTGCCTCAAGTAAGACCAAAAAATCTCATTCATGACTAACTGAAATGTGGCTGGGATGTTAGTCAGTCCGAATGGCATCACTAGAAACTAGTAATGCCCATCATGTGTTCGAAATGCGGTCTTTGGAACATCTTCAGATTTAACCCTTATCTGATGGTAACCAGCTCGTAAATTCAGATTAGAGAACACCACTGCCTCTCTCAACTCATCAAGCAGCTGGTCTAAAATTGGTACGGGGTAACTGTCCACCACTGTTGCCTTATTTAACTTTCTATAATCCACGCAGAAGCGCCAGCTCCTATCCTTCTTCTTCACTAAGAGGACTGAGCTTGAGAATAGACTAATGCTCTCATGAATGATGTATGCCTTCAGCATTGCAGTCACCTGCCTCTCAATCTCCTTTTTGGGCATGTGGGTAACGAAATTGATGCACACTAACGGATTACTCCCTTGTGTCAGAGTGATAGCATGTTCCATGTCACTCGCAGGAGGTAATCCGTGTGGCTCCTCAAACACCTTCTCAAAATTTCGTAGCAACTCTGAGAGAAACTGTGGAACCCTCTTTTTCTTTTTAGCTTCAGCAAACATCTCCCGACATTCTACCACGACACTCATCTCCTGTTGTTCTAACACCTTTTGCAACGCTTTTAATGAAACTTCTGAACTGCATATATCGGGCACTCCTTGCAACACCACTAACCTTTTCCTCTTAGAATCTTCATCGTCTGTAAATCGCAGTTAACTCGCATCTCCTCTAATGTTTCCAACCACTGGATTCCCAAAATGATGTCAACATTATTGAGTTTCAGTGGTAAGAAATTGGATATGATCGAATAACCTTGCATCATCAGTGTTATATTTTGACACACACCTCTCCCACGTACTGGCCTTCCCAACCCAATAATCACTCCAAAGCTCTTGGTTTCCTCAGCCACTAGACCCAACTCCTTCATCAGACGGTAGTCGATGAAGTTGTGTGTCGCCTTGCTATCGATGAGGACTATCGCTTAAAGGTCACGAACCGCTCCAAGAAGTTTATGGTTCGTGGAGAAGATATGCCCATTGCTGACATAGCCGAGAGCACCGTACACTCCGCGAACTCCGGTTTCTCCTTTGCCTCTTCGCCCCCCTAATTTATTCTTCCTCTTCGACACCCTCTTCTTGAAAAACCATCACCATCAACTCCTTGTTAGAACAGTCCCTCCTCGCGTGAGACTTCCCTTCACACTGAAAACAGAGCCCCTCTGCCCGATACCGAATAAATTCAGCCGGTGAGAGACGGCGGAATGGCGCTCTCCCTTTTCCCGAATTATTAGGGTTCTGAGTCACCGTTCGCTTATCGGTCTGGGTTGTTTTCTCTGTCCCCGAAAATGTTTTGGGCTTTTGGTTGAAGTTATACCCATACCCATTTCCTCCTACTGGCCCACTACGAAATGGAGAAGTAAGTGAGCCCGATATGTTTCCTCCACGCAGCCCCTTCCCACTTTGTGTCTCTGACGTTGGCTCTGCGTAATTCGTCCATTCCTCCACCAGTTTGGCAACTCTCATCATCTTCCGGAGATTCCTTGGTTCCATCAGCTTAACCCCAGCTCTGATTTGAGGCTTTAAACCGATCATAAACGCTGTCTCCAAAATTGAATCTGGAATCTCCGGTGCGCTTATGGCCAACGAGATGAAATCCTGACAGTACTCTCTCACGGTACCTTCATGTTTCAACATCATCAACCGCTCATGAGCCGTCATTTCATGGGTCATTGAAAACTGCTCGAGTACACAAAACTTCATCTGTTCCCAGTTCCTACTGGTACCACATCAACGCTTCATCATCAAAGCACATCCTCACCGCTTGGAGCTTCCTATCCTCCGAAAATCCTCCAACTCAAAATATTTTTTCACACGCAACACCCAACTTTCTGTGTTTTCTTCGTTAAAGATCGAAATCTTCAACTTCCGCATCATGGCGTCTTGTCTCTCCTCCATTTTCTACCAAGGACGATCGAGTGAACTCAGTGGTTGACGGTGTTCCTTATCTTTCCTTGTCATTGTTTCAGATTGGAGTCCCGATCCGTCAGCACGAAAGAGACCGCTACGATCCTCCTCGATCGTGATCTGTTTGTATGGTCGTTGAACGGTGTGAGATATCTCCTCCTTCTCATGGCGTCACAGCGATGCTTGGAAAAGCGCTACTACCTCTTGTTTCTGAGTCGCATCGTCATCGTTCAACCTCTGCTCCAATCTTTCCAGCACACCCATCCGACTTTGGATCTCCTCTACTGACTCCTTGAGAGCTTCCATCGTTCTGATCTTACTCACCTCGTCTCTCATGTTCTCTATTGCTACATCAACATCAGATTTCTTCACTTGTGCCATTGATTCCCAGAAAAAAAAATGAGCTCTTATACCAAGTTGTTATGGGTTACTTTGAGAAATCGAGATTTTATTGATCTGGTAAACTATTTACAATACTCAGAGAGAATTACTCTAAGGATTTCTCTCCTCCCTTTACAAGTTTGATCAAATCTCTTGACACCCTCTCGTAACAACTCTCTCTCTTATAAATAAAAGATGAAAAGCAAAAGCATATACATCACATGTGCCATTAAGACGTTAGCCATTAACTCCAGGAGCTTAACGTCGTTCATTCCTTATTCATTATAAAGCATCCAATCAGGACTTTCCAAGTGAGACGTTACCTTCTCAATTGATTCCTTCTGACCTTTACCTTTTTTTCTCTTTACATACGTGTGCAATAGAGGAGGGTGTACGGTCTCATTACTAACAACGATCTGTATAAACCCAACTGAAATGAAACCTGCTGGGAGCCGAGACGAGACAAACGAACACCGACATCCTATTTACCATATCTAATATAAATCATAGTTGTAAACTGATTTCAAACACTGTAGAGTATCTATTTTATTAAAATAGAAGTACACATATAAAATACCCCTTAGACTTCTACAATATTTACAACTTTGGCATCAAAAATTTAATTAGCTTTATACAAAAAAAAAGTTTGTCTTTTTCACATAATGAATATTTTCCTAAAATAATTCAAACTAACTACATTTAAGGAAAAAAATAATTAAATGTTTATGTTTTTTTCCAGGTAGACAAGAACCAATTAAAATTAAACATTATATTCATAAATCAATTAAGTTAATATATACAATCAGTCAAGACAGTTATGATTATTCCTACCGTGATTTATAAAATATTTTCAAAATACTATGGATACGGCTATACAAATCGAATATTTTATGAAATAAATTTCCTATAATCTTTTTTATTTCGTTACAAATGTTATAACTAATATATCAATTTTAATACCATACTAACTCATATGTGTCTATTTTTCCTACTGTTTAATTAAGAAAATTTATTTTTAGATATTTAATACATAAGTACTTTTTTGTAAATTTTGGATTTATTTATATGATATCCAATAAATACGGTCATATAGTTAGCGGTAAAATGCAAAAAAAAAAAAACTATTCTATGTAATTAAACACATTGTTATCTTTCAAAATGTTATATTAGTATACACATTACAAATCATGTACACCATTTACTACAAACAAAGATAAAAAAAGATAAAATTGACATATGTTCAGTCGAACGGATAAAAATTAAGTTATTATTTATAAGAATCTAATATTATACGATATTATGTAATTTTTATCTAACTATCAATTAAATCAAACACATATTTTAGTATTATATATTATGATTCTAAAGTAATACATTTGATCTTGAGTTTGAAATTAAAATTAAGTAAAATCTGATAAGCAACTTTCCTCTGCCTAATTGAGATTTCACATCTCATAAACTCTCTTTTAATTGGATAGTTTCTCTTCTTCTTTTTTTCCTTTGCAAAAAAAAAAAAAAGCATTGGATAGTTTCCTTCTTTTTTTGGGTCGAAAAGTGGATAGTTTCTCAAATGCAATTATTTCTTATAATAAAAGGTAAAAACTATTGCCATTTTTTCCCTTTATATAAACAAACCCTGATCACATCTGGAAATCAAAATCACGAAAAAGAGTAAAGGAAGATGGATTCCCTGACAGAGGATCTATGGGGAATAATACTTGTCCGATTACCACTAAAGAGCATCGCCACTTCCAAACTGGTCTGCAAGCGATGGAAAACAAGACTCGAATCTCCGTTTCTCCGCAAGCTTTTCCTTTCTCACCATCAAAACGCGCACTCTCTATGGTCGCTCATACTGAAGGATAATCAGCAAGAAGCAGTTTCTCACTACGGATGCGAGATTTGGGGTCTTCCACCACAACAACTTGGCTCTTACATCTCCACTTTCATTACCGCAGCGTTCTTAAACCGCAGGGAAAAAGCCAGAGTCGTGGCTTACACGGATGTCGGGTTGATTCTCATCCGTGTTGTGTCTGTCCTCGGCAACGTAACCTTGTACGTGGCTAATCCTGTCTCACGGGAATGCGTAGAAACTGATCCTCCATGGTGTGAAGCAGAGGAGGATTACCAGAACCTAGGTTTAGCCACACAAACCGATGAAACCGGCACCGTTTTAGGTTACAAAGTCGTTCTGCTCTATGATGCAAAGCAACGGACAAAGAGCTTTAATTTGCTGATATATTCATCAGAGACTGGCTTGTGGCGTCAAGAAACCGTAGAGTTTCCTTACTCTTCTCGCCGTTACCATCAAGAGTTTGGCTATTCCATCAGCTTGAACGGAAATCTTCACTGGGTCGCTCGCAATGACATGGGTGATGAAGTTGTTGTATCCATCGACTTCTACGGTTCTGATCATCCTGTATGTCGTGTTACGCATTTCCCTGATATAGAAGAATTGCCACGATTCCAAAGATCTTGCACTGTCTCTAAAGGGAGTCTCATGTATATGAATGTTGTCCGTCAAGGCGATGAGCATAAACTAAGCGTATGGAGGCTAACGAGCAGCTGGGAGTGGCAACTAGTAGCTGAAATCTCCTACAATAAAGATGGTTACCATAATGTTCCGTTGGCCATAAACCCTTTTGATGCTGAAACAATCTACTTTTGGAACAACAAGGACCGATGTTTGGTATCTATGAACGTACGGATTGGCGAGTTTGTACTCCAGGGTAAGTTGGACCGTAGCAGCAGCAGCGATGGTTGCATTCTCAGGTCCACTCAAGGCAAGATTATTATACAACTCGCCCAAGAATTTTCATCTTTTGTTGTACCAAAGTGGCTGTATAGGATACCAACCACGGTGGCTAATAACAGTCGACAGCCCAACTCCAGCTCTATTCCTACTTTCATCTGGTGGCCGCCGCCCAGGACTCCACAGCCTAATAATGAACCAGCTGACTCCAGCAATCCGTTCGTGATCTGCACAAGAAAAAACAGAAAGCAAAAGCAGTCTGTGAAAGGCAATTCATCTTTATCTACAGCTCATCATGTTGCAACGGCAAATAGATACTCTATGCTAGAAGATATCTAACCTAATCATCTAAATATGTTGTCCATGATGTAATGAAAGACGAAGAGTGAAAATCAATAAAACAGTATTCTTTCCACCTCTATTGTCACCTATTTTCAGTGAGAAGAGTTTAGACCGTTAATATTAACATTTAACAGGCTGGGTCACTCTTTACTGTAGTGAACATTCTCGTTGAAGTAATATAAGCAAACTCATCTCAAGTTTTAACAAAAGAACCTTATTCAAGCTATCTGTAATGTCTTTAGTTTCTTTTTTTTTTCCTCTAAAATAAAAATATTCTATAATAAAAAATGAGTTTTGCTCCAATTTTTTTTATATAGAAATTTCTAAATATAAAATAAAATGGATATTGAAAATCCTATTTATTTATCTATGAACAGAAAGGAACTGAAGCAATTTTACTTTTAAATATTATTATAAGAACAAGTATAGAAGTGGATCCGAGATATTTTTATTTGTGCTAGAACATTTTTACAAACATTCTATAATTTTAAAATTATATTTTAATACAAGATTTTAATAATTAATATTGCTGAAAGATTTAGAACCCAATTTTGCTTTTGAAAAACATATTTACATTAAAATAAATAAAACTAAATCATGACCCGCGCATCCGCACAGATTTTATTTGTTGGATGTATTCTATATAATTTAATTTTATATAGTTTCGAGTTTGTCGAGTTCGATTTTATGGTTAAAGAATAATATCAAAATTGTCTTTTGTATTAATAACGTCAATCAGTGTATTATGTAGATGTAACGGTCCAGTGAAAACACTAATTCTCTACGTTTGTTCGAAGCAAAATGAAATTCAAACTTAACTGTTTGTGTTAAAAAAAATTTGAGAGTTTAATTATTTTTGATGATAATAACCATCTACAGTTTTTAAAATAAGATAAAATTTCAAGAATTTTTGGTTTTAACCTATATTATAGGTTAGGTCGAACTCAAACTTAATTCTGGTCTAAACTTTGCAAACGCATAATATTTTATGATAAAAAATTTCATAACTAACTTAAATATATTCTGGTAATTTGAAAGATTTTATGTTTTTAAAATATTTTTGTATTTAAATCAGTATTTCCAAATTCAACCCATACTGCGGCTAAACCGGTGATCCGATAATACAATTTTGAACTTTAAAAATATCAATATTTAAAAAAATCACTAAACCCTAAACCCTGAGATTAACTGATTGAACTGTTGAATAACGGATATGTAGTATTTAAAGCTATAAAATAAGTTTATTTTTGTTATTTTATATATTATTTGAATTTTTAATTTATCTAAATAATTTGAAAGAAAATTTTGAGAAATTATTAAAAAATAAGATTCGATATTTTGTATTGTTTGGACATAAGATTAATTATAGTGTTGTTTGGAAACATGAATAATAATATAAGGAAATGAATATATTGTTTTAAAATATAGGTAGTAATATGAAAAAATATATATTTTTTTTGGGAAAATAAATATTAGTGATTTAATGTAGGTTTAACTATACAATAGAAAGATATAATTTATTTAAAAACTTACAAAATAAATGTTAAGTCCAACCTAATGTTTCTGAATTAATAAGATAGTGTTACAATAGTCAAAACTTTGCGTGTATAATTTAAAACTGGAGTCCATCATCATTACTCCCACAATATTTCTTGTCTGATTTTTCCCCTATATAAAGCATGGACTTCAGCTTATTTATTTTGCCCTTTTCGAACGATATAATATTATCCTCTTTCTTTCTTCATTTGGTATGCTTTTCTTTTCTTGTTTAATTATTCTTTCAAATACATATATAATATATAATATATGTTACGAGCACAAATATATAAATATATATAGAAATCTAATATAAACTAAACAATATATAATATAAATATAATTATAACACGTTATCAGCACGATCACTCTATTATTAAAATTTATTTTCGATTATTATGTTCGGAGTGGGCCTCCATTTATTTGTTATGTTTATGTTTACCGGAGTGCGGCACTGCCACCCTATTTTTATCCATTAGTTTTATTGTTACCGGAGCGCGGCTCTACCGCCCCAAATTTTATTATAATGGTTGCCTAAGGCACCATAATGGCCCATACACCGCCTAAACACTTTAATTTATTATTTTATAATATATGACTTGGTTAGCATAATTTATTATTCTCATCATCACCTTAATATTTTCACTTTGAAAACCTGATAGATAAGTTTATCACCATATATATAACTAAATATATTTAAGATATCACCTATATTTATATAGATGTTTAAACTGATAAATTTGATAATTGCTCACTAATAATTTCTGATTAGTTTTATTTTTCTGTTTTTACTTCCAACGGTCATAAATAAATTTAAACAAGAATATTAATAAAAAAAATTACCTTTTAAACGGCTAATGAACAGTATTTTTCATCTATAAATACAACTCATTTACACTCATTCACTTCAACTAAAACATTTCATTTTCTCTCAAATGTTTTTAAATACTATTCCGATTTTTACTTAAAAGAAAGTGACTCGATTGTTTTTAATTTTGTATGCGATTTTAATTTTTGCGTCTTTGTATTTAATTTTTCTTGGAGGAGTTAATGATGAAAATTTTATCATTAACATTAGTTTATTTTTATATGCGTTGTTTTTCTTTGTAATTGCTTGTATGATTAATGTAAACGGTTCATTTTAAAATTTATGAAATTCTAATAAAATTTATTATTTTTTGTGCTTTAGAAAATAAATGGCAAACATGGAGAAGCTCCAATTTTCCGCTCTGGGTATCACCAGGACCAATTACATTTCTTGGGTTACCAATGTCAAACTCCACATTGAATCTCTTGGTTTATCTGAAACCGTTAAAGAGAATAATACTTCAACGCCTCAAGAAAAGGCTAAATCGATGATCTTCCTTAGAAGACACCTTGATGAAAGTATTATTTATGACTATGCCAACATGAGAGATCCTAAAGAGCTATGAAAGTCTCTGAAAGATCGTTTTGATCATCAGAAAGACATAACACTTCCACTTGCTCGAGATGAATGGCAGAATCTGAGGTTCCAAGATTTCGACAAAGTGATGAATTACAATCCTGCTGTGTTAGGAATTGTGGCTAAATTGAGATACTGTGGAGAAACAATCACCGAGTCTCAAATGCTTGAGAAAACATACACCACATTCCATAAGAGCCACATCACCCTGCAACAGCAATATAGGTTGCGGGGATATACCAAATTTTCAGATTTGATTGTGGTGCTTCTCATAGCAGAAAAGAACAACGAGCTTTTGATCAAGAATCACATGACACGTCCAACTGGTTCCAAAGCGCTTCTCGAAGAAAATGCATTAGATGCAAAGAAACCAGTGAAAGAAAATAAGGCTTTACGTGGCCGTGGCCGTGGTCGTGGCCGTGCTCGTCAAAACTACTGTGGACGTGGACGAAAGTACAATCCACAGGACAGAAAGTCATTCCAATGGGTCCGCTCTGAGCAATCCCCTAAGGGAAAAGAACACCAAGGAAATACTTCTCAGAAGCGAGAAGAAGCTTGTTTCAGATGCGGTACTAAGGGACATTGGTCCCGTGTATGTCGTACCCCTGCACATCTCTGTGCTTTATACAAAAATTCTGTCAAAGGAAAAGGTAAAGAAGTTAACTTTGCGGAAACTTCTGAGGGTACAACGCACCTAGATGCGTCTGATTTTGTGAATGATTTTGAGGAGACCGATATCATAGAAGATTAAACACCCATCATGTGACTCTTGAAATTCCACAATTATACTATAAATAATGTTATTTGTGGAAGATTAATGTATAATTATTGTGTGATTTTTCATATGTTTATGTATAATTACTGCGTGTTTGATGTTTGCTAATCATGTATAATATTTTATGAATAAGATTATTTTATCTCTATTAATTCTTTTTTTGTCTCGGAAATGGACACTAGAAACGAAGCATCAACCAAGATCAATGCTAGAGATATTTGTATAGCAGATAGTGGAACAACGCACTCTATTCTTAAACATAGAAAATATTTTTCTGAACTTAAACCAACAAATATCACAATTAACACAATATCAAGTCCTGCAGACTTGATTGAAGGGATTGGTAAAGCCCATTTCACATTACCTAATGGGACAAATTTCTAGATAAATAATGCATATATTCTCCAAATTCTAAGAGGAATTTGTTGAGTTTTAATGACATATATTCTCAAGGATTTGATATTCATTCTGAAACTAAGAATGAAAAGAAATATATGTACATTATTCTTAAGAAATCGGGAAAGCAAAAGGTGTTGGAAAAACTACCAAAACTCTCTTCTGGTCTGCATCAAACATATATAAGTGCCATCGAATCACATATGGTGATTAAGATAAATTTTGATGACTTAACACTATGGCATGATCGTCTTGGTCACCCAGGCACCACAATAATGCGAAAGATCATTGCGAACTCACATGGACATTCACTGAAACCCCAAGAAGTTTACCAGAGAAATAAAATGACATGTACTGCGTGTTCTTTAGGAAAGTTGATTATAAGACCATCGCCAACCAAAATAGATAAAGAGTTACCAAAGTTCCTTGAACGAATTCAAAGCGATATTTGTGGATCTATACATCCACCTTTTGAACTATTCTATTATTTTATGGTAATGATCGACGCGTCGAGTAGATGGTCCCACGTTTGTCTATTATCCTCTCGAACTGTGGCATTCGGGAGATTTTTATCTCAAATAATCAAACTAAAAGCTCAGTTTCCTGATTATCCAATAAATAGGGTCAGACTAGATAATGATGGTGAATTTACTTCCCAAGCATTCAATTATTATTGTATGGTAACTGGAATTGATTTGAAACATCTTGTTGCTCATTTTCATACACAAAATGGTTTGGCTGAATCATTAATTAAAGATGTGCAACTGATTGCAAGACCATTGATCATGAGATCAAAACTCCCAACATCTGTGTGGGGACATGCTATTTTGCATGCAGAAGCACTAACTCGAGTGAGACCAAGTGCATATCACAAATATTCACCAGTTAGCTTTTGGACGAGAAGCAAATATTTCTCATATAAGAATTTTTGGTTGTGCTGTATATGTGCCAATTGCACCTCCCCAACGTACAAAGATGGGACCTCAAAGGAGGTTAGGTGTATATGTTGGTTGTGACTCTCCATCAATCATACGTTATCTAGAACCACAAACTGAAGATGTATTTACGGCACGTTTCGCTGATTGCCACTTTGATGAAAAAGTATTTCCACTTCTAGGGGGAGAAAATAAACAAGTAGAAAAAGAGATAAAATGGTGTGTGCCATCTCTACTACACCTTGATCCTCTTACAAACCAATCGGAATTAGAAGTCCGTCGCATTATGCATTTGCAAAGCATTGCAAATCAACTACCTGATGCATTTACAGACACCAAAACGGTAACAAAATCACATATACCCGCTGCAAATGCTCCTTCTCGTATTGAAATGCCACATGAGCGTGGAGCAGATGATAATACACGAGAGTCAAAAATACGTTTAAAATGTGGTAGACCTGTTGGTTCTAAGGATAAAAATCCTAGAAAACGAAAGGAGATGGAAAATCAAAATCCATCCAATACAACATAAAGGCCGGAAGAAATGAACCATGAGGTTGATAACAGTGTTGAACATCATGATTCTGAAGAAAATCATGAGATTTCTATTAACTACATTCACAATAGAAAAATATGGAATCGAAATAATGTGAATGGTGTCGATGATATTTTTTGTACTTTGTTTCAAAAGAAATAAATGAAGAAACTGATGACCCTGAACCAAAGTCTATCTCAGAATGCCAAAAGAGACACGACTAGATGAAATGGAAGGATGCAATACAAGTTGAGCTTGATTCTTTTAACAAACGAGATGTATTTGAATCTATCATAATCACACCTGAAGTTGTGAAACCAGTCGGATACAAGTGGGTTTTCGTTCGGAAACGAAATGAGAAAAACGAAGTAATGAGATACAAGGCTTGTCTTGTAGCTCAAGTTCTCAAAGACATGTGATCGATTATGAAGAAACATATTCTCCTGTTATGGAAGCAATCACTTTTAGATTTTTGATGAGTCTTACGGCTAGTCAAAATCTAGAAATGCGTCTAATAGATGTTGTTAAACCATACTTATATGGATCTTTGGATACTAATATTTATATGAGAATCCTTGAAGGATTTAAGATGCCAGAACCATTAAGCTCTAAACCTAGAGAGTTATGTGCAATAAAATTGCAAAGATTATTATACGGCTTAAAATAATCTAGACGCATGTGGTACAATCGTCTCAGTGAACATTTAACCAAAGAAGGATATGTAAACAGTCCTATATGCCCATGTGTGTTAATCAAGAAAACGTCATGTGGATTTGTTATTATTGATGTATATGTCGATGATCTAAATATTATCGGGACTAAAAAAGAAATACAAAAGGCATCTTATTATTTAAAAGGAGAATTTGAGATGAAAGATCTCGGACAGACCAAGTATTGTCTTGGTCTACAAATTGAGAATTCTCAAAAGGGTATATTTGTACACCAGTCTACATAGAAGAAAAGAGTGTTGAAACGATTCAACATGGACAAAGCAACTCCACTTAGCACTCCCATGATCGTTAGATCACTTAATGTTGAGAATGATCCTTTTCGACCACATAAAGAGAATGAGGAGATACTTGGCCCTGAAGTACCGTACCTAAGTGCAATAGGAGCACTTATGTATCTTGCAAATTGTACTCGGCCTGATATATCATTTGTTGTTAATCTTTTGGCAAGGTTCAGTGCATCTCCTACGCAAAGACATTGGAATGGGATCAAACATGTCTTCCGCTATCTTCAAGAAACAATTAATTTAGGGTTATTTTATCCTAACAACTCAAACGGAGAAATGGTTGGCTTTGCTTATGCAGGATATTTGTCTGACCCACATAAGGCTAGATCCCAGACGGGGTACGTATTCACAATTGGAGGAACTGGTATATCATGGCGATCCCAGAAACATACACTTGTAGCCACTTCGTCAAACCATGCTGAAATAATTGCTCTCCACGAAGCAAGTAGAGAATGCGTTTCGCTAAGATCAATACGTCAACACATACTTTTAAGTAGCGGGATCAACGCTAGTTCAAAACCAACCATCTTATATGAAGACAATGCAGCATGTGTCGCTCAAACAAAGGAAGGATACATTAAAAACGACTGAACCAAGCATATTCCACCGAAGTTCTTCTCATATACCCAAGAACTTGAGAAGAATAAAAAAATTGAAGTGAGAAATGTTCGATCTTGTGATAATGCTGCAGATCTCTTTACAAAATCACTACCCATTACGACATTCAGAAAACATGTTTACAACATTGGAATGCGTCATCAACAAGAATTGTGAACATCGTCTATTCGAGGGGGAGTTTCTGAGTTGTACTTTTTTTTACCTTACTATGGTTTTTCCTACTGGATTTTCCTTTTTTTTTTTTTCTGATCAAAATCTACTGGGTTTTCCAAGAAAGGTTTTTAACGAAGCAACAGAAAATTCAGTGTAAAAGACACTAATGATACTGCTCTCTAAGGGAGAGTGTTACAATAGTCAAAACTTTACGTGTATAATTTCAAAGTAGAACCCAACATCATTACTCCCACGATATTTCTTGTCTGATTTTTCCCCTATATAAACTTTGTACTTCAACTCTTTTACGTTGCCCTTTTCGAACAATATAATACTATCTTCTTTCTTTTTTCATTTGGTATGCTTTTCTTTTCTTGTTTAATTATTCTTTCAAATACATATATAATATATGTTACGAGCAAAAATATATAAATATATATAGAAATCTAATATCAACTAAAACAATATATAATCTAAATATAATTATAACAGATAGATATTTTTTTGGAGATGCTAGTAAAAAAACTTAATAATATGTAAGATATTGTGTAAGACCTCTTTCTTGGTAATTGAAGCTTGGATATTTTCTGTGCTTTATATCACATGTTTCACCTGTCGCAGCTATAATACATTCTGAAAACAAATATCTAACACAGTAATAATTTTGGCAATCTAGTCAATAATCAAATTTATAAGCCACTAATCCAAGAACCCATGGTACATAATCCGAGGAGAAACTGATGTAACAAATAAAACCGATTAAAAACATTGGCTCAACAACATCGATTAGCCGCTCAAATAATCAGAAAACTACATTCAAAAGGTAAAATAGTTCATGTCTACTTCTCTGATGAGTTTGGTCCTCTCTTCTTGCCAAAGCCAACAACTGAAGATAATAACACAAACAAAATCGAATAAGAACCCAAATGTTGACTCAATCTCGAAACAAACTTATTCAATACCATAACTAACCAAGAAAGAGTAATAGATTGACTGGAACAGAGATGACAGAGTGGAATCAGTGATCACATGTGTGTTTGTTTTTCAGAAGATAATATATCAGTGATCGAATATTAAGAGTGGACTAAAACATATCTAACAAACTTCATATGACACAGACACGGTAGTGAGACGAATGTTCATGTAGCATAATCAAGATCTAAATGTTGTTCAAAGTACACTATGCGTTATTGTCAAAATAAATTATCAAGGCGTACAATCTTAAGACGAATAAAACAAACAAAAGCACACGATTATGCAATTAATCTAACGCAATCAAAATGATGAAACAAAGGAGAGACGAGAACGATCAACCAAACCCTAATTCAACTTCAGAGATTGATCTCAGTCTAACGACAAATGCTAATTTCGCTGTAGAGCTATCAAATGATAAAAGAATCCGGAGTAAAAGTATATACCGGCGGTGACGAAACGGCGGTTGTGTTGCAAACGCTTGTGAGCACGGCCACGTGGCTTCTTCTTCTTGTCCTGCTTAGCCACTTTCGGTGTCTGACCTCTCACCTTACCCGCCCGAGCCAATGAACCGTGCACCTTTCCTACAATTCATTACGAGACTAGAATCAGCAACATTTTCGAGGATAAAGAAACAACAAGTCGAGAAGAATCACCCATCGTCGGTTACAGATACTCTTCGGGCTTCTCTGCTTCTGGAGGCGACGACGACGGTAACTTTTATAGGGTTTAGACTGTTGTTTATATTACTCATTTAATAGGCTATATGGGCCATATTGGGTTTCAAATGGGTATTTTATAGACCAATTGTGTTTCCAAACCCTTATAGCAAGTTTGTTTAGCTTTGGTTTCAGTGGTAAATTTAAAAAGTTACCATAGAATATTTTAAATTTGAACCTGTTGTGATTTGCAATTTATTTAAATTGTTATTTAAAATTTTAAATTATAGACCTACCTAAATAACTCAATCTAATTAAGATATTATTTGTAAACTAAAATGATTGCCTAGACTACCTATTTAAATATCGTATACTAATATTTGCGTCAGTTTCAAGTCACTTTTACAATATATTATTGTTAATTGGTGAAGATGGTTTGGGGATCAGATAAATGGCTAACTTTTTGCAATATATATAGAGGATATTAAGACGCTCAAGGAAAGTTTTCTCATCTCAGAGATCATCTATGTATCAAGAATGCATAATTCACGGACAGATAGTCTAGCACATAGTGCCAGAAAACAATCGTCCTTTGTCGTTCACATCGATGCAGAGCTACCATTTTGGTTTATAGAGTTAACATGAGTCTATTCAAATTGATGACACAAAAAATATCGTATACTAATTATTGTTATTAAAATTTGGTTTACACATGGAAAAATTGAATACAAAGGTTTGTTATACTATAAAAAGAATGTTTGATAAATGTGGAAGCCATACCATATTCTTATCAATTCACTCTCCCGTAATTTTATAGAAGTCTAGATATCCATATATTGAATACTATATCCTAATCCTCTGTATATTTTAACCAATATATCCTCCCTTACTAATATTATTTAACTTTCCTAACATTTTGAACGTGATATACCTATCATGAAAATAGCTAAAAACCCTAGGCTCTGACGGCGACTAGATGGTGACAAGGCGAGCAACAACATCTACGGGATCTCTCGCTTAGACCTTCACTCTCCAGTGGTAGATTGCGAACGGAGTGGCCAACCTTTGTTGGCTGGTGGTGATCTTATCTCCATAAATCGATCTTTGTCGTTTCTTCTGTGTTACGGAATAACCCTCTGTGTTCGAAGTTTCTCGCAGATTTCTGCAGTTTCCGGTGGTGGTTCGTGAAGGGACTGGCTAACCTTTGTTGGCTGGTGGCGATCTGATCTTCTCGGTTGACTCTTCTCGATTGCCTTCTTGTCACGGAGTTTGATCAGTCCTTCAGGAATCGGTCCTCGTTGTTTCCTTATTCGTTACGGATCCTGATCTCAGAACAAGACTACGAAGCCTTAGTATAGAACATCAATACATATTTGGTGATCTAAGACTTTCATCTCTGCGTGGTGGGAAACGTCAGTGAAAAACTTTGTGCTATTGCAAAGGAATACTATATTCCTCGAGTGACACTTCGTATGGGACCCTCGGATCGTTTTGGGTCTGCTCATATGGCAGATGTTAAAGGAAAAGGAATACTTTACGAAGATGATGATGAACCGATTAAGCTCTCTGCTCATGTTGACTCCTTTGTTATAAAGGAATTCTGCATGTCTCTCATTGGAAAGGTTCTAAATCCTAAGAAGCAGGATGTTGAGAAGTTAGTGCAAAAGATGCCGGAGCAATGGGGTCTCCAAGACAGAATTACAGCAAATGACTTAGGGAATGGAAAGTTCCTCTTTAACTTCACTTCTGAGGAGGATTTGAATTATGTCCTTAGGAAAGGTCTGTTCCATTACAACTACTGCATGTTTGTATTGGTGAGGTGGGAGCCTATAGTCCATGATGATTACCCGTGGATCATTCCCTTTTTGGGTTACGTTTGTTGGAATGCCATTACATCTATGGACGGATAGGAGCTTGAGGGATATTGGTGGTCGTCTTGGTTATGTGGATACAGTTGATCTATCGGAGGGGTGTTTGCTAATTGATATTGATTCACGAAGATCTAAAGTTTAAGGGAAAAGTTCAGAGCCCTGAGGGAGATGAAGTAACCATTGAGAACAAATATGATATGCTCTTTAAGCATTTTACAATTTGTGGCCTTATGTCACATGAGAAGGGATATTGCCCCTTGGCGATTAACAACGCCCACGGTCATGTGGAGAGAGCTACTATTTTTGACCGTGTACAGCTCCTTCACGATCATCTAATGCTGGGGGATTCTCGGCCTCTACGTCAAGGTCTTAAGGGAAGTGACAACGTACCCGGACGCATACCGTTTCTTGGCTCATCTCGCATTACTTCTGCAAGGAATGGCGATAACAAACACAACCAGTCACATGCACCTGATTCTTTCAGGGGTTATGATAAGCGAAACAGAGATCGAGAGTCCCTTTATCCGCGATCAAGAAGTGAAGATGCTCAACACAAGTACCACTACAATCAGGTAATGAGGAGAAGGGATGAGAAGTCCGACTCCTCGAGGTTCAAAAGTTCTCGTCATGGCAATGGTCCTTATGACCGTGAAGTTAGACTATCTTGGCGTCAAAAAGGAAGGAAACAAGATACTGAATCCTTTGGCTTGATAAAAGACAGTGATGTAGTTCCATATGAACAAGGTGCAACTAGAGAACAGCAGGTGCATGATAAGGCGAATGCTCAACATAGTACTGATGGTACTTCTGCTAGTGATTTGGGTCAGACTAAGAGACTCGCCAGTACCATTGTATCGCCTGCACTGCGAACAAGTATGGAGGACAATGTTACACTGAGGAACAAGTGTGGTGCGTCAATTGACATTTGCATCACACATTTCTCCGGCTGAGGTTGGTGATGACCAAGTCATCGGCGCCTTAAGTGATATGGGAGATACAAGCTGAAGATGGAGTAGGTGAACAGTTGATGGCATGTGAAGATTTGTTTGATGAGGAACTTAAGGATTTGGAAGACAAGACACAATCTCCTAAGTCCTTGATCTCATCAAGTAGGGGACAGTCGTCAAAAGAAAAGAAGATGGTTAGAAACAGTAGTAAGAGAAACCAACCATTGGGGGATATAGCAAAAAACCTGAGTTCCTCCGTCGAGGCTAACCACATCTCAGAGCGACTATTTCTTCTACTAATAGACGGGGAGTGAGTGAGAGGCCCATGCGCTCTCATCACAGCTTGAAAAAAACAAGAGAGGCTACAAACAAGGATGCTGGTTTGATGGGTTCCAATAATCCATCCATCCATCATCAATGAGGACAATCAGTTGGAACTGTTGAGGGCTAGGAAACAACCTCACAGTTCGACGCCTTACGGAGATGTGTCAGAAGCATCGCCCAAGACTCGTGTTTCTCTCTGAAACAAAGAATAGAAGGCTGCTGTTGCAAGACATTCAGGCCGACTTAGGATTTGATCGTTTATTTACCGTTGAGCCACTTGGTCTCAGCTGCGGTTTAGCTATTTTTCATAATGATGAATTTCAAGTTAATGTTGTATTTTCAAATAACAAAATGATTGACATTGAGGTAGTCATTGATGGAATAAAAGTCTACATGGCATTTGTTTATGGGGATCCTGTACTAGAAAGAAGAGATTTAGTTTGGGAACGTCTTACGCGTTTCTCAACAACAAGGAATGGACCCTGGTTTATGATAGGTAACTTTAATGAAATTACCTGTCATAAAGAGAAGAAGACGGTAGACAACTCCCAGATAGCTCTTTCTTGCCATTCAGACAAATGCTAAGTGATTGTGGTATGATGGAGTTTCCTTTCATAGGGAACATGCTATCCTGGGTAGGAAACAGAGCAGAGAGGACTACGGTTAGATGCCGCCTAGACAGAGCAGTTGGGAATGAAGATTGGCATGAGAAGTTTCGTTATTCCAAAGTGCAATATATGAGACTTTGGAGATCGGATCATCGTCTGATCCTAGCTGACATTCTTAAAAAGAAGCTGAGAAGATCAAAAAAATTCAAATTTGATAAGAGATGGCTGGATAACGAGGAGCTCAAGCAGGTAATACTTGAGGGATGGAAATCACCGGATCTCCCACCAGACGCAAGCATTATGGAGCATATTGCAAGTTGCCGGCGAGCCTTATGTGATTGGAAAAAGCAACATAATCTGAATTCAGAGGAAAGTGTGGAGGAGCTAAAGGAGAAGGTGGATCGATTATCTTCAAATGATGATGCCACTACAGAGGAGATTGCGGCAGCTTTAAAGGAACTGTCTGACGCTCTTAAGGCGGAGGAGATGTTCTGGAAGCAGAAGTGTAGGGTATTCTGGTTAAAGGAAGGAGATAGAAATACAAAAAGTTTTCATGTCCTCACGAAGCAGAGGAGAGTGAGGAACATGATTACTCAATTATTGGATGAAGATGGGAATGTTGTAGAGGATGAGGAAGGATTAGTAGCCATTGCTACAAGGTACTTTAGACACATTTTCCAATCATCAAATCCGGAGGAGATAGCGGACGCACTATCTGAAGTTACCACTACAATTACGCCAGCAGATAATGAGAATATAACAGCTCCGGTCACCAAATGAGAAGTTAAATTGGCTCTTTTTGCAATGCACCCAGAGAAAGTCCCAGAGCCGGATGGAAAGACTGTGTTGTTCTACCAGAAATTTTGGGATATTGTAAAGGAAGATCTAAATCTTATGGTTAATCAATTCCTATTTGAAGGAACGCTGCCTTCTGGTTTAAAGGATACCAACATATGCCTCATTCCAAAAGTTGACAAGCCAAACCAGATGAGCCAGCTACGTCCTATCAGTCAATGTAATGTTAGTTACAAGATAATCTCTAAGGTCTTATGTCAGAGATTAAAAAAGGTTCTACCAAATAGGATTTCAGAAACCTAGTCAGCCTTTGTTGTTGGGAGACAGATATCTGACAACATTATGATTGCTCAGGAGATGTTTCATGTCGTAAGAAAAAAACCAAGTGGACGCAAGAAGAGGATAGCTATTAAAACTAACATGAGCAAGGCATATGATAGAATGGAATGGTCTTTCCTCGAGGCCACCATGAGAAAGATGGGATTTTCAGAAGTCTGGATATCCTGGATAATGCGATGCGTAACATCAGTCAAGTACAAGGTCCTTATGAATGGGCAGCCAAGAGGGAATCTCGTCCCGGAGAGAGGTCTAAGACAGGGGGATCCTCTGTCCCCTTTCATTTTTATTCTATGCACGGAAGCACTCGTTAGCCTTCTAAATCACGCAGAGAACCAAGGAAAGATAACGGGGATGCGCATCACGCGTGCGTGCCCTTCGGTATCGCACCTTCTCTTTGCTGATGATAGTGAATGTAAAGAAGTAATGAGAGTGGTCAGAAAATATGGACATGCCTCATGACAATGCATTAATTTTGATAAATCATCTCTACTCTTTGGTAAGAGAATAGGACATGATGCTAGGCAAGAGATTAAGGACACACTTGGGATTCAGAATGAAGGAGGAATGGGGACATACTTAAGAATCCCAGAGGATATCAGTGGATCTAAATGCAAACTTTTTGCATTCTTAAAGGATAAGCTATGGAATAGAGTGAATGGATGGACAGGTCGATGGTTATCAAAAGGTGGCAAGGAAGTTATGATTAAGACGATCCTATTAGCACTCCTGACTTATGTGATGTCATGTTTCCTTCTTCCATTGGAGATTTGTGATGCTTTAGCTAGTGCCATTGCACAGTTCTGGTGGAGTTCGAATCCCCCAAAGAGAGGTATTCATTGGTCAAGGGATAAGTTATGCTTATCTAAAGAGGAGGGAGGGATTGGGTTCAGAATGATTCATGAGTTTAACCTGGTGCTGTTAGCAAAACAATTATGGAGATTGGTTCAATTCCCAGATTCACTGGTAGCACGGGTTTTGAGAGGCCGGTATTATCGATCAAGTTCGCCATTGCGACGGCTTACTGTCAGTAGCCGATCGTATGTGTAGACAAGTATATCAACGGCACGAGAATTATTAATGTTGGAGATTATACAGAAAATACATTCGGTATATGAAGTAAGAATATGGGAGGATCCATGGATCCCTACCATTCCAGCGCGATCAGCGGTCCCATCTGTACCAGTATTACATCCGAAAATATGTGAGTGAG